AGATATGTTGTGAGAAATGTGTCTTACAACATAGCTCACACACGGTGTTGAACTGAAAATCAGCACACACATGTTGTTCTTGACAATTTTTTAGATGATTGCTATATTTCCTTCACTGAATAATTAAAATCTGAGCATCCCTTGACCGATAGATGGGCAGAAATTAGTGAGATTTTTTTTCATTCAGGATAATACTCGTTGCTCTAATCGCAAAGAAGGTTACTGGAGAAGAAGAGATAAAACGTGGAGAACCTTATCTTGACTGACTGGGTCAAGAGTGAGTACAGCACAAAGCCGCAGATCTTGACACTTCAAATTCAAATGGTTAAATTTCAATTTTGATCCTTTAACTTTAGGGGTTTTCACAATTTTTATCCCTTAATTTTTTATTCACTTTTTTGATTCTTTAATCATTTCATCAAATTTTACCGATTAATTTTTTAAATTTATCTAAATATATATATTTTTAATTCTTAAACTATAAATTAAAAAACTAAAAATATGAATACATTATAAATTAAGAGATTAAAAATATATATTTATATAAATTTAATAGATTAATTAATAAAAAGACTAAAAAACATATATTTTTCATAATTAAGAGAAAAAAGTACATAAAAAGTTAAAAGGTGAAAATTATAAAAACTCTGAAGTTAAGGGACAATAAGTCATATTTAACCAATTCAAATCATCTCTTAAATTATTCTTAAACCTGGCATGTTAAGTACTCTGGAACTTAGTGTTACCTCCGCCTCCATTAATGTATAAACTTTTGATTATATATAGTTCTTATTTGCAGAGGGGGCGATAAAGTAGATTATAATCGTAGGAGAATGTTTCTGGGAATATGCTAGAAACCTCAAATCTGGAATTCGACTCTTAACATTTTGCACCACAAAGATTTGATTCAAATCCATTTTCCATAATCTAGTGTTGACGTATCTAGGATGAAATGTATACTTCTTTCAAGTGATAAGTTTAACTAGGATTCTTAACAACTATTAACTTGATTTGTCTAGAGATGAGTCCTACAAAATTGAGTTAAATTGTTCAATAATGAAAATTCATCGGTGTCCAATCCATGTCATGCCTGCAACTGAAACTTCCTCGTTCTTCTCAAGCAGATTTCAACTTGGATGATGCTGCAGCCAAATGTGAAAGGATTCTATGTCCAACGAACACTAGGAAAGCTCCTAAGAGACCTAGTCCTTTCAATGTTGTGAATAGATCCAGCTGTGCACAGAATAGAAAGACTTGAATGATTAAATAAAATAATAAAAGACCGAAAAGTTCACCCTTTGAAGTTGAGTTGGCTAAAGAGTCAGGAGTACCTTCAACCAGAAAAGGACGTAGAGCAATAGAACTGCTCCAATGCCAACATGGAAGAGAATGGCAAACACAGCAGGTACAGCTTTAGTGGGAAAGTTCTTTAGGTTCACCCCTAGACGTAAGAGCTGCCAAAAGCAAAATAATAAAATTTAGCGCACACGAAGACATCTGGAATGCACAAAATAACTGGAACTCAGGTGAAAAATACTACTACTCAAAAAACTAGTTAAAAACAATCAACATACAAGCCTTGAAATACAAAAACAAACTGAAAGTTTGGAAGATGTCTAGAACTTTCTCAGATATATCAGTGTACAATGAGGAAATGAACATCGAACTCACCCCAATCAAGAATCCAAGTAAAGGCACAATGGTAAGACCCAAGAAGGTAAGAGAGAGCTCCTTAGGTGGACGTTTTTCGGGAGCCCTGAAGATGTGTGTTATTTCTGCTTTGGGCCCATATCTTGAGTAAGGATCAACAGGCTGTGGAGGAGGACGGGGTGCCTTCTCAGGTGGTTCTGGTAGATCTAATTCAATGTGACCAAGAGCACGCAATAAAGAGTTCTCCTGAAGAAAGCAGAAAGGATGATCAAATTTGTTCAATCTTTATGAATACAAAGAGATAAATGAGCATCAAACACGAAAGTAACGCTTACCATGACAGCATCACCCACACTGAGCTCAATGTCATATCTACCCGAGAGATAGAAGAATTTCTCAACCAACCCTAGAAAATCCTACAAAAACAATTACCACATTGGATTAACAAAAGGAATTTTATTACAGAACATCACACCAAATCGAAAAATCATGTCCTCCTAGTTCATGGGCAAGCCAAATAGAGCATGTGATAAGAGTCAAAACTAGAGCCAGCAAGAGTCCTTTCATTTGGAAGGCAACCCTTAGTAATGGAGAAAAAACTGGATGTTTTCTCATTTCCAATGATAAAGGGTCTTACTCTATGTGACATAAGAAATTAAAGAATATTATATTTGCAAACTGGCGTAAGACATATTTTCTGGGGGCATTGTCTCAAAAATACAATCCACACCTCAAACAATGAAAGAAAAGGGTATCAGAGATACTTAACTAGAACTAACTCAAGCTGCTTTCCAGAGCTTGCCACCACAAAGATGTGTTCAACCTTGGACTCATGCCTTAATTTGAGTAATACCTGCAATCCAAAAGCCTTTTCAACTAATTGCTTCAAAGATACCATCCTTTAGAAAGAGAAATAAGAATAGCTTATAGTTATAGACCTGGTGTGGCTTAAAAGCACGTCCCCTAGGAGTCGTCAACTGAAAGGATAGGCGCAGCTTCTGGAGATGATTTGCTGATAATGATACAATACCATTACCAGCTAAGTCTAGCCTACAAAAGGGCAGGATATCCAAACACAAGTTAAAGTCACTTGGTTGAAATTTAGTTTATAAAACAAAATCAAATATCAATTCATTAACTTTTAAATTGTAATAATGGTCAGAAAATTAAAATGCAATAAAATGTCATTGTGGGAGGCACATGCTGTCAGTGATAGGTATAAACATACAAAACACAGAAGCAGAAAAAAAAAAAAATAAAAAAATAAATAATAGTAAACAGCATACTTTTTCTGGGTTTCTATGCTCCCAAGATCGCTATCAAGTACTGCAATTTCTGCATTTTCAATTTTGATAAATCCTGTGACAAAAATTGGTATTTTTGTTTGGCTTCCAGTAGCATAAACCTTTTCAGGGCCAGATTCATGAAGCACAATCTACAAAAAAATTCGAACTTGGCACATAGAAAGCAAGATGGAAATAAAGATTCAGCTCCTCTACAAGAAACAAGAAGAATACCTCAAAGGCAAACATGTATCTTCCAACATCAATGCTCTTTGGCAGATCATTCAAGATATATACTCCAGTTTCAGGGTTGAACTTAAGTTCCTGCACTTAAGCTAGGGTCAATGTTGAACCAAAATTTTGTAAAAGAAAAGAAAAAAAAAAAATGAAGCATGAAAGTAGTAGCATCAGAATCAGAAACACCAAAGTGAATGCCAGAGGGAGTTCAGACCTGGCTATCAATTAGGGATTCATCCTTTGAATTAGAACTGAAAGCTTCCACAAGTTTGACAACCAGAGCAGGTGCACCAGAACCAAGGACTGTGTTAACCCGAACCTGATTACATTCACCAAACAGAGAACAAGATTTAGTACCATGTAACAAGGAATATGTTTAAGTAATGTTACAGCTTGATTACAAATATATCCAGAGATGAGCAATATGCAAATGGGGCAATGCATAGCACTGTTAAATGGATGCCATTAACTGATACATGAGAAGCAGAAGAAAGAATTGTCCAAAAGGTAACATAGCACTAATATCTAACAATCTTAAGAATATTAGTTGACAAAAAGTGTATACTGCTGAACTTTATGTATTTACAGCTAAATATTTGGAAGCCAAATATATATTAAAAAATGTAACACGTTAGTGCTCGTCAAAACCAATTTTCTTTTCCTTTCTATTGATTTTATTTGAAGTTTTTGGATGATGAAGAACCTGACCAAGTGGGGCCATATAACATTTTTTCCCATTCCACTCTGCTCACATAATGGATTGTTGAATTATCATGGTAGTAACTAGTCAAGAAAGTAGAAGAAAACAGGTATGTTGTCCTGCTAGTTGACAATCAGAAAAAAAGCAAACACTTGCCCTGATGGATTATTGAGGAGATTTTAACTAGGAACACACCTTAAGTGAGTCTTTCTTAGTCAATGAAAGCACTGTAGATGGAAGTGATAAAATCAATGGGATGGCAACCCTGCAGTAGAAATAACTTTAAAATAATACAAGAGATGATAACCAACTTAAATAGCATAGTGACAGAAATCTAACATCTATTAAGTTCACAAGACTAATCATATAGAACCAAAGAAAAGGACTGATCAGGCTCAGAACAGAAAAATCTTCTCTCTTTCTGAAATTGTAAATGACATAAGTAATATACAAAACATGTTTGAGAACACAAAATTCCTCTTCCAATTTCTAGAGTATCAAAATTGAAAGTTATAATTTCCACTATCTTGTTCTAGTCATCACAAAGAAAGAAAACTACAAAGGATAGGAATGCTCCTACATCATTTGATATCGTTTGAAAAGGATTCTAGAAACTTTACTCTTCAATGTTGTGAAACTCAGTCAGTGTTAGGAGATCACTATCATGAAAAAGCTATTGAAATGAACCCATTTCATAATAACAAAGACCAAGCATCATTATCAAAATATGTTTCACAAAGAAAATATATCAAAATTACAAAAAGAACCTTGCCTGTTGTCTTCCAAGCAACCTAAGGAGTCTGCTTGGTTAAAGAAGTCCTTGGCATCACCAGGAATTCCAATTCCAAGGAAGAATTTTGCCAAACCCAGTATTTTGTCTCCAGGAAGCTGGCATAGATAAAACAAAATTAGAAAACATTCTAAGTTAGAAGAGAAAGTTGGTAGATATTGTCTTCCAACTCACATTCAAACTTCCATCTATGACTGCTGCAAATGCTGTTACCCCTCTAACAACTGATGAGGTAGTTGAAAGAGGACCTTGATTCTCACGTGCATCAATAAGTTTCTCATCAAAGTAAAAGGCTCCATTATCTGGAGGAAAGGAATAAGAAATGTCTCAATTATTATAAGACAGGTGAAAAATATAAAGAAAATTACAATGTATACCAACATAAATATAATTAAAAACATCATGGATGGCAAGAAGGATAAAAATGCATACCATATTTCTCAATGCCGTCAAAAAGCTTAAGAACATCATTCTTTAGTGTCCCAATCTGCCAACAGAAACCAAGATATCATGTAATCAACAATACAAATGGTTTATCCACACAAATTAAAAGTTAAAAAAAGAATCAAAAGTAAGATGTAGGCATAATTACTCAGGGGATATTAGATGAATAAATGGTAATATAGCAAGGCCAAAAATATGGTTCAATGTTAACAAGGCTGAAAACCAAAGTAAAAGACATCTACAAAAGTAGAAATATGAACTAGAAATTACAAACACCAGATGATATGGTTAGGACATTAAACTTTTGCAGATAGCTACTGCAAGAGAAGAACATAACCAATCCAAATGTTTTAACATGAAATGCCAATAAATATTCTTTATCTTTCCAATAAAATAGGGAATAATGAAAACTGTAATAAACTTATCTTATATTAACTATTTTAATTCATAAACAATCAAACTTAAAAAGATTCCACTAGAAAAGAGGCAGCAGTATCTACAACTGTACAACATACCATTGATTGGTCAATTTCAGAAGATGCTAACGAGATAACACCAGCAAGCGTTTGAAGTGCTATTCCTGAAAGAATATAATAAGAATAGGTGAAAAAGCATGAAGAAATGGAGATGAGTTAGTGATAATAACAATACAAGAATGCCAAGCAGCATACATAGGTGAGGTAATTTCAGTATAGGAACAAAAAATACATATATCCCTAGGGAAGAATAAAGCCAATAACAATAAAGCATGAAAATAGTTTTACTCCCAAAAGATCTTTACCAGCAGCAAAGGCACTAGAATCAGGATTACTAGAACTATATCGCCACCTGCCATCACTCTGGCTGAGAGCCTGGAGACCAAGTGTGACATAATGTCAAACATTCACAATAGAAAAAAAAGAAAAAAAGAAAAAAGAAAAAAAAAAGGAAGTTTGCTTAAATGATCAAACAAATCAACACAAAATATACGGCTTGGACTCAGGTGCATTATAAACCTCTGCTATCCATGCAAATCTGACCACAAAATATCAGGTCCCACCAGATGGTGGACCTCAGCTGACCAGTGAAGTTAGGACTTAGGAGATTTATAGTATCTCTTATCCCCACCATAAAACTAACACCAGTTAAAGCAACCAACCTTGATGGAACGAAAAACTCCCTCAGCATCAGCAAGATGTAGATCAGCTTTCAATGTCTGCTCCTGCATTAATGAACCAACTCATTAAGAGGAGAAAAGAATGAGTTACGATTACAATTTATTTAATTAAATACAAATGGAAAACAAAGACAAACATAAACACAGTATAGAAAGAAAATACTTTAGAATTTCCCCTCTTAAACATTACCTTGATAAGAACCAAACTTCTTATTGAATAGTAGAAGTCAAGCAATGAATTTGCATCATTGACAGCAGCTTTAAGTCTTGAAATTATGTCCTTTTAAGTAAAAAATAACGAAAGAAATAATGTGAATACCAGGGTCATAGAATACTAAGCGTTTTTAAACTATATATGTCAATCCCAACAGTTTCCAAATTCCAATACCTCAAAAGCTTTCTCGTTTATCTTGCATTTCAAGATGCCATTAACTTTTAATGTGAATAATAAATCCTTGAGAGTTGAAGATGATGACTCAAGTGTCTTAGATACCAATGCACAACTAGCCGTGCTTACATCAGGCTTCTTTTCAACTCCAAGAACCTCAAACGTTCTTAGTGCCTCATATGTCTCTTCTAAACTGTAACACAAGTCATTTTAAGCCGTTCATGCCTAAACCACAGCATAAAAATTGCAGAGACCAAAACATAGAAAGAGAGATGCAAGTATATATATTTTAAAAAATTACAAAAAAATAAAAAGAGTTCCTATATAATTCAGCAGCTATACACACTATGGCTGGCAACAATTGTGAAACAAACCAGCAAAACTTAAAATCCTCAAATAAAAACAGGATTCCATTCTCCATGGGAATTATAGTCCGCTTTTTTTCATATTCTACAAATTTCACAGCTTTCAAACTCGAAAATAAGCTCAAACATTCATATACAGGCAAAAAAATAAAACGAAGAAGAAGATTAATTGAGGTTCAATGTTAAACCTTCCAAAAGATCCATCTACAGGAGAAAAGAGCTCTGAAGCTGCAGATCGATGAGAATCAGAGATCGGTTGAAAGACGGAAGCAGCATCGCAGATCGATACCAAAAGTATCAGAACCAGAAATCCTCCAAGACTTCTGGCCATTCCTGCAACCACACCGTCACTATGAATCAAATGCGCTTACATAAACACAAATTCAACTGTTTCGATTCAGGAATCGGAAATTCAAGAAATGAAACCCCCTACGGGCCGTACCTCAGATGTGGAAGGAATTCTTCTGCGCCTTGGGTCTTCGGAGTCTTTTAAGAGCTGTGATCGGACAATCAAGACTGATAAGAGGGGAAGACTGGAGCAGGGGTTTGTGCTTCTTTGATTCCCGAATTTACCCACGGGATTTTGGTTGAATTACTACGGTGCCTCTCACGTGATATGCAGAAACTTTTTTTTTTTTTCACTAACAACTTATACACTCTAATAATATTAAATTTTAATTAATTTAAAATTAGTAACATTTAACTTTATAAATCTCATCAGGAAGTTGTTGATGATAGAGCAAGAAAGTTATTATTTAAATTATTTATTATAGTTTTTAATTTTTATTATTTATTTTTAAAATTAAAATTATTAAAATTAATATTTTTTTTATATTAATTACAATGAGAAACAATCATCTCTCTCATGACTTATCTCATTTTTCTGGTACGTCATGTAATTTGAACTCAATCTTATTTTTAACAAAAAAAAATCACTACTGAAATCATTTAGTGTATGTTGGTAATTAAAATTAATAGTTAAAAATTAAAATTCTCAATTATTAGGTATAATTTTACAATAAATAATCAAAATTTTAAATTTAATTAACTTATAAAATTAACTCAGATGGATCATAGGCGACAACCAGTGAGAGATATGGGCTGGGTTTGAGCAGAATTGGGCTGGTACAGGTCTAAGAGGTTTTGTCCCATCCAAGCCCGTTATTTATTCAGTGAATATGAATAAGGAAAATCCCTTAAGTTAGCTATAATTCTCAAATCAGTTCTTAAACTTGTTTTTGGATCAACTAAGGCCATGTACTCCATGATCTAACATTCTGGCTGGTTAAAGAAAAAGCTAATGAAAAACGTCGACTCTCATATCTCTACGAAAGTGTTGCCTAATCAACCAACTTATGTGGAAGTTAAAATGACAATAGTAGAGTAAAAAAAAACTTGAGATTATGTTTACTAGGTAAGATCTATATATAAAGAGGTTATTTCATTATAATAAAGTTTTTTTTAAAAAAATTTTTGTGTTTCAAAAATTACAGTGAAGTTGAAGTATTTGGTGTGAATTTTAATTAAAAGGGAATGTTGTTTGAAAGTTTTATTTAAATTTTAATTTTTATAGAAAAATTTAAAATGAAAAAAGAAATTGTCAATCTCACATTATTACATTTTAAATATCCAAAAAAAGTATTATTAGAATTCTTATATCATAAACTTTCTACTAACCTATTATATACCATTTTTATATGCAATTAGAGAGTTGCATATTAAACACCCGAAAATTTTTTCAATGACGCGATTTTTTTTTGTAAAAAAGTGTCAACTTCCTTCACGAGCAAACTACCAAAATCTTATTCATCAAAAAAAAAAAAAAGAGGAAAAAAAGACAAACTACCAAAAGCTTTAAGTGCGTTTTAAGTATTGTCTTTGTCGCATCAACCTTCAAATAGGTTAAAGAAGTTGGCAAAAAAAACCCATAAATGGCAGCCATATACCATATGATTTGTCTTGCTACGTTTTGCTTACTTGGCTAGAATATATTTAGGGGCTAAATTGCCCCAAAAACTGTTTCAGAGCTAAATTGAGAAAACAAATTAAGTTGATGAGAGTTATTACATGAATAGAATTTTATTTATATATAAAAATTTTATACATTATATTTATAAAAAAAAAATTTAATTATTTATTTTTATATTTTTAATGATTGAAATTTATCAATATATTTTAAATAAAAATTATTTAATTCCTGCCCTTTTTATCTAAAATTTTATGTAAGTATAAAATATAAAATTTATGCATAAATACATTCATGCCCTTCTTATCTTAATTTCTAAAAAATCTATTGATAATAAAATACACAATAAAAGCAAAACGCGTCGGGTTATTATATTTGACAATATCGGAAAGCTGAAGGCCAATCTGGTAATTCCAATAATCACCACTCTTACTGCAGTTGACATCTCAAGCTCTCCATCTGATTCCTCCTTCCCACCTCACCGCAATCTTCAATTCCAATCTCCGTTTCCGATAAAGGACTTAGATTCCGGTTCCCCACCACATTTTTTTGCTGCCGACGACATGTCCTTCGAGGAAGAGGAGTCCCTGGAGCACACCCTCCTCGTCGTCCGGGAGGTTTCCATCTACAAAATCCCTCCCCGGTCCACCTCCGGCGGGTACAAATGCGGCGAGTGGCTGCAGTCCGATAAGATCTGGTCCGGTCGCCTCCGTGTTGTCTCTTGCAAGGACCGCTGCGAGATCCGGCTAGAGGATCCCAACACTAGCGAGCTTTTTGCTGCTTGTTTCGTGCACCCGGGCCAGCGCGAGAACTCTGTCGAGCCCGCACTTGACTCGTCCAGATACTTCGTGCTTAAGATCGAGGATGGACAGGGGAAGCATGCGTTTATTGGGCTCGGGTTCAATGAACGGAACGAGGCGTTTGATTTCAATGTGGCGTTGTCTGATCACGAGAAGTATATCAGGAGAGAGCACGAGAAGGAGACAGGCGAGACGAGCAATAACGAGAGTCATATTGATATCCATCCTGCTGTTAATCACAGATTGAAGGTATTCTGAATTAGTGTAAATGTCAAGTCTTTAGTAGTATTTGTAATATAGAAAGATACCAGCTGATTGATTGGTGATATAAGACTTGAAATAATCTGTTGTAGAATGAATGTCATGGCTTTGAATTGGCTTGAGAATCTGTACTTTGTTTTATACAATTCAGTTTGCTTTTGCTTGCTTTGTATGAGATTTAGTAAATGCTATTTGTATGTTCATATTATAGGTGGATTTTGATCTTAGTGTTGTTTTGGGTTCATAGGAAGGTGAGACAATCCGGATAAATGTGAAGCCGAAGCCAACGAGTGGAACTGGTATGCTATCGGCTGCTGGGTTGTCAGGAGGGCCTTCTGGAAGTGCAAAGCCTAAAACTTTGGGACTTGCTCCACCACCTAGCGGCACAGGTAAAATAAGATCTCCTCTCCCACCCCCTCCAAATGACCCTGTTGCTGCTCGGATCAGCTCATCTAGTCTCAAGGCACCTAATGAAGACACTAGACAAACTGATCCTCTATCAGATTTTTCTAAGCTTGAGGTACATTTCTATCCCTTGTCCCCTAATCTGATCCTTTATACATGATATGTTCCCTGTACTCCAAACTGTGAGGTGTCATTCAAACTGGTTCATTTTTTTTATCAAAAGCTGATCGATTGAATCTATAAGTTTAGTTCCAACAGCTTTGATATGTTGCCTGCAAGAAGGCATCGTGATCTTATTGATATAGTGCATCTTCCTTTTTCTTGGCTTTTGGTTTAGAAACTAGCATTAGTGTAATCTCTGCCTTGCATCGCTAGTTTTTGCTTCTCTTTTGAAAACATAAGAATATTTATGATACTTAGGATATGGTGATGAAGAATTCTAAGTTTGATAAAATTCCTGCATAACTATATGGAGTTGTTTTTCAGGATATTGAGGCAGTAGAAGATTGAAAACTCTTGTTTTGATTGTGTCTTTCTATTTATAAGTAACTTATAAATTATTGCTTATCAGAAGGAAGCCTGAAAACAATATATTTTTTTTTCCATATGGATGTTGGTGCATTGCCTAGTGTGCCCTTTTTTTCTATTATTTTGTACCAAAATGACTAAATATTTTTGTTGGTTGCTGCCTGCTAGATAGAAACTGTGCTATCTCATATCTTCAACCAGTCAGTATGCTTATTAATTCTTTTACAAGCTATTGTGTTTAGTCAAATCTGCTGCATATATTACTCTCATGAGCATTTTCACCTAAACTGATTGTCTTTGTTCGTTAGTTGTGGATGGTGCTTACAATATAAGGATTTTATCTCAGCTCTTCATAGTATGTTTAGTTTGAGGGGAATGGAAGGCAGGGGAGAGAAGGATTTTTAATGATTGGTCAAAAAATCAAAAAATCCTCCTCTCCCCTCCCTTCCATTCCCCTCAAACTAAACATACCATTACTTGAATGAAGTTTTTATAGGTTTTTTCGTGTTTGTATCTGCCTCAGTGGATAAATGCCAAATTCTCATGATGCCTCAGATTAGTTACATCCATAATGGAGGTCTTTCATTTTTCTTAGTGATGGCAAATCTCTTTATGGTCTTTTATGTAATTAGTGTGTTGGCATTTGCAGAGGAATCTCCCTTCTGCAACTGGATCAGCATCTACCAAGACCACTGGATCAGGATGGGCGGCTTTCTAATTGTGTGAACAATAGTTGAGTTTGTAAAATCTTTGACTTGGTGTTATTTATTTGATTCGAAAAGGAAAATGAAGAAAAACAGAAAGAAAGGAGACGTTACTCTACAATTCCATATCTGGAATAACATTTCCAACATCAATATGATATGCTCCTTTTTAACCTACGTGAACTTGAATGTTTCATGATTTTGTTTTATTTATAAATGTAATATAATGGGGAAATTATTCTTCTTTTTAAATCGGATTAGTGTAAATTTTGTTGCGAACTTCCTAAATACCATTTTTAAACTGGCTGCAATTCAATCATACTTCCAAAGAAATATCATCCAGCCATTTACCTTTTGTTAGTAGAGTGGAATGAATGAAGAACTAAAAATTCAGTTGAAGCCTCCATGTGCCTCATTTTGTTTGTTTTAAAGGATGATCGTGATATCGAACCAAAAAGAAAAAAAAAAAAAAAGTGTGTAATGCAATGGATGAGTAATTAATGGAGGTTTGCGCGATTATATACCTTGATTCACAGCAATGTTTACAGATTACCTGTGTGGAATTCTTAAAAAAGCCGAGTAAATAGCAATATAATTGGAGTGAAACTCTGTCTCCTTTCATCAGTAGTTAGGCTTCCAATGAAATGAGAGGCTTTTCTTTTTTCCATCCCATTTTACTTGTTAGCTCTTGAAATTTTATTTGCATTTTTAGATAATATACTTTATTTGATATATAAATAACAATTTGAAAAAAAAAATATTTCTAATTAAGTAATTTTATTTTATCAATAGAAAATAACTATTTTTTTTTATCTTAGTTGTACAATAAAAGACAACTATCTCTTATTCTTTATCTCATCCCGCCATATAATTCAAACACAAACTCTTTTATTTCTAGCATAAAAATATAACCATTAAATTATTTAAGTACTCAGCAACTATCTTTTTTAAATTCTTTTACATCATTCTTAAATGTCAATTTTGAAATTTCAAAGTTTTTATCCCACCAAATACCATTAGAAAGTGATTTTTTAAAAAATATGAAAATGACTTGGATGTATTAGGGCCACTCAAAAGGAATGCATCAAAATATCAACATTATGTGCTTTTTTTTGGGGTGGGGGGTACATATCAACATCATTTATTATGTGCTTTTTTTTTTTTGGTACATCAGTGAGTGACCAAGAAAATAACAGTAAAGACAAAATCATTTATTATGTGCATTAAACAACTGAAATCTTCTCTTCATTTGTTGATCATAATGCCAATAGTCTACCCAAAAAAAAAATCAATAAAATAGCATAATAAAAAAAGAAAAGCTTGGATAGCATTTAAAAAGAAAAAAAAAGGAGTGGGGGTGGAAAGTGATCTTTTATTGTCTCATGTAGTCACTTCAGCACCTATATTGGTTAAGTACCGATGCATGTATCCATTTTCCATTCCATTCCTTCAAGGCAAAACAGTCTTAAAATTTCATGCTTTCTAAATTGAAACAAGAGATCTTTTAGGCCATAATAGCCAACATTCCCAAATCCCAACCACCAAATTTTATATCGTGTCCGGTGGATCTACTCGTGCTTTTGCTCAAATTTTAAACCATCATGTAACTTCCATCTAATCTTTACGAAAGACTCTGATAATTTTATCTTTCCCCCTAAAAAATATAAAGAAGACATGTCGTGTGGCATAGCCTGGCTCCTTCTGTCAACCGATTCTTGTGGAACAAATTATTAATGAGAATATGATTCCCACAATTCTATTTTACTACAATATAATCTTAAAATGTTAAATGATGATAGTAATTATTGAGTTAGAACCCCTTATACTTAACACTTACATATATTATTTATATAAAATCATAATATTAATTTTTTCATTATAAGTTATTAAAATTTATTTACATATTTTTTATCTTATTTTTTAAAGATATATTTTTTTTGTCATCTAAAAAATAATGGTAAATTTTAATCATTTATAATAAAAAAAATAAATTATTAAAATTTTATGTAAATAATATATATACCAATTATATGTGAAAAGGAGCAAGCTTTAATTATTATTTATTATTTTCAGTTTGCAATGATGTGCATAATATACATTAAGGATGTTAGACTTTTAACTCAAAGAGTTGTATTTATTAGTAAAACTGTCATGTCATAGATTAGGCCTATAATTCAAGCTTTGAAAAAAATCACAAGTAAATTAATTTTATTAGATATATCGAAATTGATGCGATGAGTACAGCTCTAAAATTATCAGAAATTGTAAAATAAAATTCTATATATAATAAATTTTTTTTAACATATACTTATAATATAGATTATACAAACTTATATAATAATTATGTTTTTTTATTTTTTTATATTTGAGTATGAATTATATAAGAGGATAATCCTTTCCTATTCTCAAATTTTTTTTCATCAGGATCAAGATTAGAATCTGACATCACAAACTTAAAATTTTAAACCCTTAATTGTTAAATTATCCCATTAAAATTAAATAACAATTATGTTCCTACGGTGAGTGTGGTAATATTTAAATACAGTAACCAAAATTAAGATGAAGACTTTTATAAATTGAGTTAGTGAAGTACGTTATCGGTGGCTTTATCAAGAACTCATCCCATTCTTTGAAACAATATCATGACAAATAGGCCCAGACTACTATACTAGGAAATAACTTCCAGCATTGGAGGTTTGATCTATATCACGTAATATATTTTTAAAATAAATAGTTACAAAATAGTCAAGTTTGTTAATATAAATTATATATTAAAAGTATAATTTATTTTATAAATTTATTTAAATATTTTCAATAAAATAAAATAAAAAATAATTTTATTAAAGATATATATTTAAAGAAAATTTTTAAGATAGATTATTTTTTAATATACAAGTTATTTTATAAAATATTTTTTTATAATAATTGTAATTAATATGATATGATATTATATTATAAATTTATAATATATTATTCTATATAATTAATTTTTTATTCAAGCATACATGTAACATATTCTTTTATAATTATAGAATTGTTGATATTTTTTTAAAAATAAAAATAATTAAAAATAAAATAAAATGGTAACGTGGAAAACCTATATAAGGTGGGAGGTTTGCAGGGCGCCAACAAGAGAATCACGCGGACGACAAGAAACCGAGACGAGCACGAGCCTCGGTCTCTCCTTCCCTCTCAAACCTCAATATGCACGCATTTTTGTATTCAAAAATTCTACAAAACGTCGAAATTGGCGTGGGGCCTTTCGCGGATTGGTACACCTGAATATATTGCTCCAGAAGTTCTGTTGAAGAAAGGTTATATATGGCATGGAATGTGATTGGTGAGTAGTCATATGTGTTTTACTATTGGGTTTTGGCATGACATGGAAATGATAGTCATCTTTGAGAGGCATGGGTGGTGAATTTCAGTAATATTATCATCAAATCATGTTCAGCACGCTTTTTTCTTTACGAAATAATATATTATTTTTACTTATGGGCCATGGCTATTCCATTCCACAGGTGGTCACTTGGAGCTATCATGTATGAAATGCTTGTGGGGTATCCACCTTTTTATTCAGATGATCCAATGTCAACATGTAGGAAGGTAACTGAGAAGTATTGGTTTTTTTTTTTCTTTTTTTCTTTTTTTAAATAAATATTTTGGCAGTCAGATGTATGTAATTTGATGTTATCTTTTGTTACACAGCACTGATTTATGCTGGACATATATATATTTTTTTCTACTGACATTTTCAGCAATCTTTTTAAGATTTCAATGATATATTTTTTTCCTGGACTTATGTTGTAGCTTTCTTCATCTATTCTGTACACATCCAACCATATTAGTTCTATTTATGTTATTTGACTTGTCTTCAGAGTTTTTCTTGTTTTTGATCTCCAATAAAGAGTTGAAGCTTAAACCTATTGTGATGAACCTTAAATGTCTGCCTATGTAGGTCTCTTATTCTGTACAAAATTCAATTTATGTAATCCCTCAAAAAAATCAACTAAAATAAGATGAAAAAACAGTGGATTTGGTTTAATCCGTTGAACACTTGAATGATGTGATCATATTTCCTATTTTGTGTAGATAGTAAACTGGAAATCTCATTTGAAATTTCCTGAAGAAGCAAAGTTATCTCTAGAGGCAAAAGATCTGATTAGTAGACTCTTGTGAAATGTGAGCCAGAGGCTAGGAACAAATAGGGCAGATGAAATTACGGTGTTGTATGGAGTGTCCTATTCTGTATATATTGTTGGGTTGTTCAATAAGCTTGTTGCAGTTAGATAAATTATCTTGCTTCTTTGCTCCCCTCAAGGTTCATCCATGGTTTAACAGCACAGACTGGGATAGAATATATCAAATGGAGGCTGCATTTATTCCTGAGGTCAATGATGAGCTAGATACTCAAAATTTTGAAAAGTTTGATGAGGTATTGATCTCTCTCAGGTTTCCTGGGGTTTTTAATCTCATTGGGTTTGGGGTGTCATGGTTCATGGATCATGATTCATGATATTTGTTTTCTTCTTGCTTATTTTCTTGCAGTCTGATAGCCATACTCATGCTCCATCAAGAGCTAGCTGGCCCATGGAGAAAGGTAAGCTTGCATCAATTTCAATATATCATTGAATTCCTAGTTTGCAATAAGTTGCAAATTATAAAGTAATTGTTGTTCTTTTGGCTTTCTTGCTTTCTCATTCTCTCAGAATAGAATTATTTCCTTTGATAATTTTGTAGTATTATTGAATTTCTACAGGGGCCTTGTATTCTATATTGATAATTTTTAGGTAATGGTTGTTGCTGCTGATCAAAAAAAAAAAAAGGTAATGGTTGTTGCTGTATCTGGTTCCTTTAAAGTTGCTTTTATGGTGGTTGAAGATATATAGATACAGCTCATGCTTTTCTGTTTTTCTTGTTGAAGTGTCTGTGGTCTGTGTCATTTATATTAGAATGGTTACTTAGAATGTAATCTAATTTGGGAAAAAGATCAGGTGCCATAGATTAGATGGAATGATGCTGAAGTAAAACACAGTCACACAGGTTTAATGGTTAGAGAGTTAACGCAGTCTTGTGGCTACCTCCATCCATTAATAAGTGGTCAATGCTTTATTTTTTTTTTTT